TAAAAAGAAGAAACATAAAAAACTGCTTTCAGTTTGCAGTGTCATCAACTTTTGCCCTGTTTATAAGGCTTAATGTTACAGCCAGAATGCCTCCATACGTGCACTGCCCTAGTCCTGCGACCTTTTATAGACATCTTCAATTGAAGAATGCGTCTGTAACAAAAGAGATAAGTCATACTTGATATCTACAGATCCCAAAAACATGAATGTATTAATAGGCAGTCCAACTTTTGAAGATGTGTTGTTCTTATTTGGAATATCATATGACACCTACATAAAGAACTTTTGACACCGCCAGCTGACTTTTCACGAGTCATTGAATACATAAGTTAGCCATGTTGCTTTTCCCATGGACAGGTTTGAGTATGACGGGCATCATCAAGGCCTATTTGATTCTTTGACACCTATTAATCTATGGTTATACACACTTACATCAGTGAGCGAGCATGAGGGAGATCATCAAGGCCGGCTATATATGCTGCTATGTGCACAGGGAAGGAATAGAACATAATGAATATAATGCAGAACTAAAGAGGGTGAAATATCAGAAAACAAATGGAAATTAGAATTGAGAGAAAGAAAGTTATGTGGTAAACAATTTGAAACCACAAAAAAAAAAAAAGATGAAGTGCTTGGAAAGGATAAAGTTGTTTCTCATGTGCTTTTATACATGCCTAATTATTTGACTTCAAGTGATACGCCTCCAACAAAATCAATAGGTAACCTTCAAATTCAAATAGTAGAACGGGGTGGATAGGTTTTGAAAACATGTAGTTTGTTTGGCTTTTTTTTTAATATTGATATATATTGTTAACATAAAGAAAGGACCTGTCGGTTGACCCAAAAAAAACAAAGAAAGGACCTGTCATTTTGATGGCATAAGAACTCTGTATTGCAAAAGTTCAGTGCACTGTCGGAAGCAAATATTGTCTACAAACTACACATGCATACTTTAAGATATACCCTTTTTTGACATGCTTCCTACGCTAATCTTTCAATTTTTTGTGGATAAAAATAATTGCCCTTTATCAGCCACAGAAAACACTGATAAAAAGAAGGATGAAGTCATTAGTGAGCCTAATTGTAAGAAGACAGGTCATTTGAAGGAATCCATATGCTACAATGAAAAGAAGACCGAAATGTGACTTTATTTGGCATGTTTCCTTTTTGAGACGTTCTCGGTCATTTAACACCATCAAGAAATAAACACAGCAGAGGTAAAATACTTGTACACTGAGGTTCAGATCTCTTTTTTCAGGGCAGTCAATGTGGTCCATAAAGCTTTTAATATTTTCATGAAACACCAAAAGACCATGTTGAAAAAAAAAAAGAAGCAAAAACAAATATCTAGGAAGAATCATTATACTTTGGTAGAAATAAAATTCAATCTATGATATTCAATAATCAGAAATATACGAAATAACAGTTACAAATGATTTTGCTGTGTATAAAAAATTTAAAGTAATGTGATAGATTACATGGAAATCTATAATTCTCCTTGGCCCCACAGAAAATTACAGATTATTTCATGAAAATTAATGAAAATATTGAACTCCCAAAATTTTGTCTGGTGGCCTTCTTTGTTTAATATAAAACAACGTGTTTCAAGTTAATATGGGTTGAGTGCTCTATGATTATATACATTGACATCCATAGAAGTATATAATAACGTTGCAATATGCATAAAATTCGTTAGATGCCAAGAGCAAGTCTAAGCATGAGCATTTAAATTTATTATGATTTTAAGCATGGGTAAGACAACTTGAATAAAAACACACCCCAAAGAATAAGAACCATTAGACATTAGCTTTTTTTTTTCCCCCTACCATTGACTAACATCAGCTTGAGGAAAAAAGGCTTAACTGACACAAAAAAGTTGTTTGACAGAACAATAAACACTAAAGAAGCAAAGTCATAAGCATCATGCGTTCAATCTTCTTTAATCTATGGTTCAATCCTCATGTAGTTTAAATTTTTACATGATGCTAAACACATTTTCTTATGAAACTCCTGAAGCATGGTATAATTTTTTCTGGATGGTATCCTATAATCACCTTAGATAGCTCCCATTGCAACACATAGCATCCATACTAAAAAAAAGTACGGATCCATTCTTTTCAAAACTTATGAATCCATAGTTAAAGCCACCGGTGCATATCTTCACACAAAGCAAATTGAGCCACATCCACACAAAATACACACCCAAGCTCAGCAAAATAAATGAAGCAAGATGATTAGAATGACATAATAAGAATAAGAACATGGCGGAAAAGAAAAATAAGCTTCAAATAGAATCTCACACTTAATATGAGCTTAAAAAATGCAGACAACGCTTCAAATATAATCGGGTCATGATATTATAAAAATGACTTAGCAATCTCACACTTTTATGTTGGCAAAAAAAAACAAACAAACTATTCAGCAGTTTTTTTTTTTCCAGTCGTTGTTACTCAGACAATGCTTTTGTTTTATTAAACAATCAACATGGTGCCCTTATGTACCCCTTACAACTTTCACACTTGAGGAAACATAATTGAGCTGTTCAAGGGAGCAGAGTAAGGTCAGATAAAATAAAGCAGTCTTGCTTTTCCAACTATGCAAGGCCAATAGGGTGCGGTTTTTGATGACTTAACTTTCTTCTAAATAGCTCAGCCATTTTGTTTTATAGGGTATGTATGTGCATCCGCACCATTTTATTATTAGAGCCTCACTCGCGAGAATTGCTGTGATTATTAAGAAAAGAATTAAAGGATGTGGTTTCACATGCTTAACAATAAAAACCTTACCCACTGAGATTAATAAAGTTAAGTCAATCTTAGTGCTATATACTTTATCATGGTGCGGACGCAATGATCATTTTAAGTCACTGCATCAAATTTGATAATAATATATCTACGTAACTTTCAAGTTCTGACATTTTGGGAAATCGAATATCATTGATGTGGTAAAACTTGAGCAACCAAAATATTCATCTCATGGGAGAGCATGATGTAAAGGAGGATCGGTTCATCCTAACATATCCCTCTTGAAAGCAAGATATACAATCAACAGATAGAGAACTACAAGATAAAAGAAACTAAATATCTGAATTCTATAAAATAGAAGAACCCAAAATCAAAGAACAGATACAATCAACAGATAGAAAACTATAGAAGAACCCAAAAACCAAAATTGCCGGAGCTAGACATGGGGAAGGGGAAATTAGTTCACCCCATATCATCCTTCTTCACTGTAGCTTCTTCGCCGCTGCCTTGGTCGTAATATCTCCACACTGTTAGCCATCTACATCCCTGACCTCTCATATTGGTGTTCATCCTTTCCTCCCTCCATCTTTATTTCTTTGTTCCTTCTAATCTAAAAACTCAAACGAAGAAAGCAAACCCTTGACAGATGTTGAGAAGAAAATTTTAGAGAAGATAAAAAATCAAACCTTGAAGCAAGCATAACCTTCTGAAGATACTTGCATAAAATAGAAGAAAGATGGTGGGAGAGAACAAAAACAAGAAGAGGAGAGGAAGAATGGATATATATGACGTAAAAAAAAAAAAGAAGATAAAAACTCAAATCGTGAAGAAAGCCTACCAGATGTCTCTCTCATTGTGCTTTAGAAACTTTACAATAACCGTGCATCGGACCTTCTTATTTTTCCCTGTCGATTGCAAATCCGAAGAAATTTCAGCGATTGTGAAGAAATAGCTAATATTACCTTTGCTCTTCTTCATCTTGTAGAGAGAATACATAGATGAGAAACTCATCTGTCATGTAAATCATAGTTGAGCTTTAGCTGCGTCAATATGGCAAAACCTTTGAACAACTTCTTCATTCTTAGATCAATGTTGTAGAGAGAGATGAGTTCAAACAGAATAGTAGAGCTACCTCGAGCAAATAAGAAGAAATCAGAGACAGAATATATGTTTTTGTTTTCTTCCTTCCTCGATGAACTGCAAGAAATGATCGGAAAACCTAATAAAAGGGGCCAAAGAAAAACAAACCGAAGAACAACAAAGAAAAGTGAAATCAGCGAAAGGAAAATAAAATAAGAGGAAGAAGGGGAAAGAGCAGAAATGAAAGAAATAATAAAAGAAGATTATAAACATTTTGAATGAGATAAAATGGCACTGAGACTCCTGAAAGGAGACCTGAAGAGATGGAGGGAGATAAAATTTAAAATTTGAATTTAGAAGTGAGTACCTGTGGCAATGAAGAAGTGAGAGGTAATGCCTCATGTGAAAAAATGATGGAGAGGCGGATGATAAAACTCGCGAAGAGCGAAAACGTAATAAATGGGACTGAGAGAAAGGTGTGGAACATTGAGCCACAGTCCAAAGCCCAATGTATATCATTTATTATGATTAGCTTGACAGAAACCCAAGAAATAAGCTTATTTTAATGAGCATGGCTTGTGAACAGTAATTCATCTTTGAAGCCAGTGCTAAGCCGTTTCTGGAGATGGCTTGGTGGAAGAGTATTTATATATATATATATATATATATTGATGATGATGATGCGGTGAATAATACTATTAGGATAATTAATAAATTAAATTTCTTGATTTTTAATAATTTTAATTTGAATACTTTTTTTAAAAATGGTCATCTAATATATATAATGTGAAATAATACCTCCTGTCTTTAATATAAGACCTTATTTGATTTTTATTTTAGTCCTCAATATAAGACCTCAATCCACTTTGTTTCTAATATTTATGTATTTTTTCTAAAGTAGCCCTTTTAATAATGATATTTCTAATCAATACACTTGATTAGTAATGATATTTTAGAAAAAATAATACTTATTTATTACAAATAACTAATTTAACCCATTTCTTTAATCTTCTCAAATTATTCAATTAACTCTTATAATTAGAACCGGATATTTAATAAAATTCATATTTAACAAATCTGATTTTTATAAAAGTCAGATTGAATGAAGGGGGAAAAAAACTTCCGCCGCTAATTAAACTTTCGTTCTGAGCTCTCCTCCGTACCTCACTGGAACACCCCCATCTGGTTTCGATTTACCCAAGGAAATCGATGATCCTTTTGCAGTCTTATTCAAGGTTTCTGCATCGGGTTCAACTGTGCGTCCTCGTATTGCTCTATCAATTTTCTTCTTAAATTTCAATTCATGTATTCTCCTTTTGCTCTGAACCATTTGGCGTTTGTTTATGCATTATTTGTTTTTGAATGATGAGCTCCTCCTTGCTTTCAGTTTCCTCCTTCTTTTGCGGTATGTTTTCGAGAAATTGTTTGGATCCTTGTGAAGATAACATAAATACATGTTATTTCAATTTTTCTTCACAGGTTGATAAGTAGAATATGGTTAACATTCAAGTAGCTGCACGTCGTGCTTTGTTCTCTGGTTTCCCGATTTTATTTTGGATTGCAATTTAGGTTTGATGTGTTGAACTTCTCTCATTTCACTGGTAAGTAGTAAAGTCTATTTCTGAGTTTTCTTTGGCGCGCGCGCGAACACGCATATGCATCTATGTTCTTCATAGTTCTTCGAGCCTCACTAGCATATGGACGGATTTGTTTGAGTCTCAACTAATTTGTAGTCTGCGAACTCCTTCAGTACTTAACTTATCTTGACATGTTTCATTAATTTCCTTCGGTTATGTTGTGTGCATGTATAATGTAACTTCTAGTTCCAAAAGGATGCCAATTAATATTCAACTAAATTTTTCTGTCTTGCTCATTGGCTATCATGTTTATGAGAGAATCAATGGAGTTGGTTTTGACCATTTCATCAATTGCTAACAAGTTTCTTGTTCTTTGTGGGAAAACAATAAAATAAAATAAAAATTAAAAACAAAGCTGAAGTGTTGGTATAAGTTGGTCCCCATTTTTCACTATGCTCTCTAAACTAGGTCCTGATCCTTCTGATAGGAAGCCTATTTGAGTTTCCGGTACCTTGGCCTATGTGTGTGTAATATTATTGAGTACTTTTTTTCACTTTTCCATCTTATAATTCTATGGGGATATTTCAGTTAGTCTTCATTTCAGGAAAATCTCAGCCTCCAAAATATGGTATGAGCGTAAAAAATTTTCTCATGTGAAACTTTTTGTCATTTCTTGGTAGATGTTTGGGACAGTGATTAGGTATGCTGCTAAGACATCAAAGCCAAAGGCAAAACCTATAGAACTCAAAACTCCACCAGAGCATGCACAAACGATCACTAGGGTTCTCTTTGATATTGTGAAGGAGCATGGCCCTCTCACCATTGCAGAGACGTGGGAACATGTCAAGGTTAGCATCTGAACATATTGTCTCTTTTTGATACTTCCATTTAGTTTCTGAAGTAGTCGTAAAATTCAACTCTATGTGCTTTTTTCCTGCAAGGCTATCTCTTGAAGTCAGACACATGCTGAGTATCACTGAGGCCCGTAATTATCCAGTTGAAATTTTTTTGGCTTGGCACACTCATTGCATTTTCTTATTATCAACTGTTGCTTGATTGGTGATCATAAGAAGGATACCCTGATTTTGGCTTAATAAATCGTTCCCTAACATTGCATTTGCAATGGACTTTATGTTATCTTACAAAGTAATTAGGCTGTGGAAGAATTTCTCAGCCTAGGGTAAGATGAATGAAACCCAGGGGACGAAATGAATTTCTAGTTCCCAAAAAAAGAATCACTTTCATCTTGTCCTCATGTCAATTACATTGATGACAAAAGAACTTTATGAAGAGAGAAGAAAAATACAATTGATGGGCATCCTCCTAAGAGAAGAAAATTCTGAAAAAGTAGCAGAAGTGATGATTGATGGTTGCTTTGTATATGACTTTTTTTTTTTTTTTTTTTGGGTATAGTTGCTTTTCTATAAGAATACATAATGATGGATGGTATCACTGTGTTTAGGAAGTAGGATTGAAAGATTTGAGGTGCAAGAGGCATATGAAGATCGTATTGAGATGGATGAGAGAGAGGCAGAAGGTTCGACTCATATGCAACCCTGTAGGTGCTCATAAGCAGTTTCTGTATACCACTTGGTTTTCAAAACCCTCCTCCGTGCAGGCAAAAGCAGTGAATCTTCCGTCCAAACCAAAGTCCTCCTGAAGGTTTCTTATCATCATTACATGTGTACATGCCAAGGGACTCAATGAACTAAGCTATATAGGTAGCTCTAATAAAATATTCCTCGGGTCCTAAATATAAGACCCTTATACACTTTTATATGTGATTCTAAGTTGTAAGAATCACATACTGATTATTTATCATGTTGTTAGTATAAGAGTTACGTATTTGGCATGTTTCTGTAGAAAATCTGATGACTATTATGATTTCGGGAAAGTGTTTTGATCCTTGTGAAGATAACATAACTTGTTATTTCAATTTTTTTTAGAAGGTTGATAAGTAGAATATGGTTAACATTCAAGTAGCTTCACGCCATGCTATGTTCTCTGGTTTCGCAATTTTATTTTGGAAGGCAACTTGAAATGAATTTTTTATTGAATGCAATGTTTTTACCCTTTATTTTCCTGTAGATATTTTTTATGCTAAGTATATTGTCATTCATAAATGAGCTTCGAACCTTTCTGAAATAAAAACACGCATCTTGCATCCTATTCAACTGGGTGGTGTGATCATCAAGTGTGAGAATCATGTCTTGTACTTGAGATTGTTTTATAGTATATTGCCTCCCAGTGGACAATGCACATATGGTTCAAAAGTTTTGGATAGAAAAGGAGGGGATGACATTCTGGCAATGCATGGCTTTTGCTGTGACATGGAACTTTTGTTTGGAATGAAATACTGGTAATTTTTGATGTGTTTGGTTGTCTTTAGATCCCCTGTGCGATGGAAAATCTTTTGCGTTCTCTCTTGGTGTGGCTTTTTGAAGAGGCTCACTTTATTAGATGGTTAAGGGGCTGATGTATATGGGATTGGCTCAGACTTGAGACATGACTAAGACATGCACTATAAAATTTTAGTGTCCATTTATAATTTGAATAAGTAGCATCATTTCTACAATAAGCTTCTACAAATGTTAGACCTGGACACTACTTGATTTTGTGGAAACAATGCATGATAGGTTCATAGGCTGCACGATCATGTTTCTATTTTTCATTCTTATCTGTTTTTGTTTCTAATTAAGAGGGTTAGAGGAGATTTCGTCCTGCAGGTGCTTTATATGTCTTTTTTTCTTGATATAATTTATTCTCTTATGGAAAAAGCGACAAAGCCTTTTATCATGTATATTTGTCAGTTATGGGTGAACAGATCATAATGCTGAGTCTCGCGTCACTCAACTTTCCATGTTTCTTTGCTTAAATTCTGTCCTGACCCAACTGTTAAGCAAAGACTCCCTCTTGTTGAGTAGCTAGCTACCTCTACTATTCCTTATCCTGAGAATATATTGAGCAAGAGAATTGGAAGGAAGAAAAAGAGGATAATTACGGTAGTTCTGGTTCAGTGGAGAGGGCTTCCAGATGAAGAAGCAACCTGGATTTCTTTGTTTAATCTGCAAAAACAATTTCCAGATTTCCAAATCATTGACCTTTGAGGGCAAGGGTTGTTCTGAGGGGGCATTGTTATGCAAAGTACATGTGAAGTAGCTAGTTGGTCATAGACCGTTAGTAGTTATGAGTTGTTATGATTGATGTCTATCTAAACTAGCTGTCATGGGAGTAGATAGAGATGTGCAGCTATAAATAAGGACTCCCTACATCATTTGTAACTGTTGATTGGTTGATCATTAGTGAACTATATTCAGATTTCCTTTGAATTCTATCTTATTCTCAGTTTCTCTTTTCTTTCGATACTCTTCTGTTCTTCTCTGTCTTTTATGTTCTTTCTTAAATTCCATAACGTTCTTCTTAAATTTGATACTTTATAATTTTGGTTACATGTGAGGTTGTTTTTGACTGTCCTATGATGATAGAGGATCAAAGTTAGGATACTTTCAATTAAAAAAGCAAGAAGGGGATGCTTTCATTTTAACATCACAAACAATTTTTTTTTATTTATAGGTCAGGGTAAATAATAAAGCATATGGATGATAATGGTATTAGCCATGCTACCTAAAAATGTGAATTTCGAAATATGTTCTACAAGCGTGTGAGGTCCTCGCCCATCAATGGAGACCTACGATTTTCATTGCTGGTTGTTTTTACCAGTTTTGATTGATTTGAGGCCAACTTGACTGGTTTAGTGATTCTTTGTCCCCAAGTTTTGTCACATTTTTATGATTCAATTATTTGTCTCTGACCCCATAAAAATGTGTGAAATCAAATAATTTGAAATTTAAAGGGACAATTAATTTGTAAATCATTATAGTTTTAACCAATTTTTAATTAGTTCCTTATATTTTTATATATTTTTAATTAGGCCCTTGCTTTTTTTTGTTTTAAATCAGTCCTTATAATTACAATTGATTTTAATAAGATCTTTGTATATTTTTTATTTATTTTAAAATTAGTTAAATAAATATGTCGAAATGTAAAATTTAATAATAAATATTTAAATATAAAATATTAATAGAATTAATAACTAGTAATTAATTTGAATAACTAATAATGAATTAATTACAAGTATATTTTGTTTTTTTAAAATTTTTTAATTATCATTCGGATTTTATAATTATAAAAATAGGTAAGATTCATATGTATTTTAAATAGAAAATTTAAAAGAACATCTAAATAAAATTATAATAATAATTTATTATTTATAGAATATTTCTATTTATATAATATTATAATTACTTATATTTTATATTTATAAAATAATATTAGTGGAATTCATAGAATAAAGAATTAAAAATTCTGAGGGACCTAATTAAAAACAATGTGGAACTACGAGGGCTTGATAAAAAACAAAAAAAAATCTATATGAACCTAATTAAAAACAAGTAAAAGTATAATAATCTAATAAAAAAATAATAAGAACTTAAATTAAAAATTAGTTGAAACTATGAGGATTTACATATTAAGTATCCCAAATTTAAATTTAAATTCAATTTTAAAACGTTATTATATTTATTTGATAATTAAAATTGAATTCAAATTCGAAATATGGAAAATAAAATATGAAAAACAAAGGAATAGGTAGTTCGCATGAAAAAAAGTACTTTTTGACAATCATTTTTAAAAAGTACAAAATCATTCGTTAAAATAATAGACAAAACATGTTGACTTGTTTAGTTTGTGGTGCTGCTACAAAGTAGCAGTAAAAGTACCATCTTTAATTTAAATTGTTTTTAATATTTGTTAAAAGAGATACTCAGTTAATATTTAGTAGTGGCTCAAAAAATATTATTTCTAGTAAGTGGATATTTTTGCCGATAAAAAAATTCCGATTGGTTTTAGTGTCCCCATATTACAAGCTTTAAATCATGGAAATTAAAAAAAAAAACTAAGATAAAATAATCTTAATCTGTAATTAAAATTTTAAAAAAAAATTGTAAGCAATATTCTAACAAAAATATCTAAAGTAAAATAATTTCAAGTTTTAAATCTAAAATATTTTATTTTTTATTTGATATCTCAAAGTAAATACGCAGCCAAAGGAAGAAAATGGAGAGTTATCAAGATTTATGATGAGATTCATAATAGAGTTTTAAAAAAATGACACCCAAGTTTTATAGAAGACAAAATACTGCAAAAAAAAAAAAATCCCTTCAAACTTGCTAATTCCATTGGATCTCAAAAGAATCTGATTGCATTAATAAAAAAGGTGAGCACACACACATATGTTCTTGATAACAAAGACACATATAACGCTGAAAATTGAGAGGAAGAATGGATTTCTTATGTCTTCTTTCTTGAGTTCCTACATGAGAAAGAGAAGCTTAACGAAGAAGGAAGCAAAGTGGTGCAACATCTTTTCCGTCATAATAAGTGAAGTCTTTATTATCATAACCGATTTTGAGATTTAAAATTTTCTTTCCTCTCATTTCCTATAATTTGAGATATATGATCACTTACTTTGCAAGTGGCTTAAGATTTATGCATTGGGCTGCAAAAAAAGATATAAAATTAGTATGACAGAACAAACAGAATATACACCAATGCTAGAAGCTCAATTATAGCAACCCACTTGTGATCAACATCCTTTATGGAATTTCTAGCCCCTCGATCATGAACCCAATAGCACCAATCACCTACAAGCATCCTAGGGAAGTGAAACGATTCCGCATTGAATAAGCAAGCTCTTCAAATGCAAAATAGAGTTATCCTTAATTAATAACTCAACCCAAAGTTCATATCAGAAAGAGTAAATGGAAGGAAAAGGGCAAAACACAAGGAGCCAATAATTAAACACAAGCTTAGTTAAATCTCCTGGCCAGCTATCCTACCCTTCAAAATGTCTACAATTAGCAAATCTAGATTAGTCTGGACCCATTGACATATCTGAAAGATGGTTTGCCTACGATACTAGATGAGGTCACTCCAAAAAATAAATATATAAGATAAACACAAGCTTATGTGATGACATCAAACAAACCAAGCCGCACAGCACATGGCCCGCTCATTGTGAAGCCACGACGTTTATGAAAATATTGATGATTGATGATAATAGATAATAAATAAATAGATTGAAATCTTAATAATTTCATTTTTTTTTTCAATTTTTTTAAAAGCAGAACAGTGAATTTTCTTCCTTTAAATTAAAACCACAAGCCAGCACGTTGCTGCGGGGAAAGGCTCATTCAAAGTATAGTTTAACAAAAATATTCAAATAATTTAGTAAGCTGACATGGGGGATTAAAATAACGTGAGTTGGAACATTCTTAATTGTTGGATAGACCACAGATGAGTTGGTGTTGTTAGGAGCATGCAAGTATTTCTCATATAAGTATATAACTATTGCCTCCTATTGAAACGCCTAAATTTCATCCTCTTTCTCAGGTCCATCACAGGTTACTACGTACACATCACCAATGTCTAGGATCCCAGAAAAAATCCATCCCAACATGAGCATGGAGGATCCATGTGCCTAGAGTTATTCCAAGAGATTGTTCTTCCTCACAAAGGGAAATAATGATGCATGGCGATCACTTGCCGTTTCTTAGCCAAGATATCATCTTAGAGATTCTTATGCGACTGCCAGTAAAAATTCTAATCCGATGTAAACTTGTGTGCAAGAATTGGAAACATTTTATCGAGGCCGCCTCATCTGAACACGATGATCACTACTCATCAACTCTTTATTATAACCCTTCCCTTATTTTCTGTGACTATAACAGAACAGGCCAATCAAAGCTACATTTAATTGACTGTGATATGCAAGTCCGTGTGCTTAGCCATCCTTTATTTGATTATTCCTCTTCCACGGTTTCACTAATTAATTCCTGCAACGGCCTGCTCTGCATTAGAGTCACCCCTAGACACAGTCCTTTGCTAGACTCTATTTTATTGTGGAATCCAACTATTCAAAAGGTGAGGCAGGTTGCTACGGATTATAGGAGTTTTTCTTACGTCGGACTTGGGTACCTTGGAATTGTAAAAGATTACAAGCTA